ATTGTGCCAATGTCAGGGGCTTTCTGGGTTGCCAGATTTTGTGGATCTTGGGTAGTAAGCAATAGTTGCCTGGCCAAGGTTCCTAGGAGGTTGAAGTATTAATTCTTTTAAAGAGTTTCTTGTTTGATGCTGCTTTATCCATGTCAAAAGTTGTTCTCTTATCAGCCTGTTGTATGATAATATCAAGATTGTTTTTACGATTGAGTATGGCTTTCCATTTCACAGGACTGAGTTTCTAACATAAGTGATGTTCTTTTTTTGGCAATCTCAAAGTGAGTGCAGAGGTGGAAACAGTTTATATACAAGTCCATAGTGGGGCTGTGACTCTCGGGTACTGTCTAGGAGCTGTTGGGGGGAGGGGGTTGTGCTGTGTATGGGTCTGGCCTTTTAGCAGGTTGATTTTGTTGCATGACTCCTTGTCATAGAAATATTTCCTTAGTCTTAAGTGACAGAAAGCAGTCTCGAGGTCTCCCTGTTGAGTTGTGTAATAGAACAGAAGGAAAGACGATGAGAGAGTACTGACACCTCAGCTGGGCTGAGAGTGGCTGGATAGCTTGATGCTATTACTGTGAATAGCAGGGGGGTTTCAGCATTTGAGTTTGGAAGGTTATGCTTTCTTTTTGCTATTTTTTTTAAATTCCATTTTGCCTATCTTCTCATACATGGGTTTCCTGCTTACATTCCAGCTGTATGTGTGCAAAGGAGACAGCATAGGACAAAAACATCTGGTCTTAAGTAGTTGTCTTTCAACTACTGTTTGCATGGAGATGATCAGGAAGCAAGTTTTTTGCCTTATGAAATGTGAAATGGTGAGATAAAAAAATGCATGTTGGGACCAAACCAAGATATTTCCATTTCTGTAGAAACCAGAGAGAGACCTACCCCAGAGTAGCCAGCGGTCAAGACACTCACCTGAGATGTTGGCTAATCAAGTCAACAATTAAAGTCACAGATCAGGCAGAGAAGCAAATTGAAATTGAACCTGTATGTACTGGATTTGTTTTGTTTTTTTTCAATTCTAGAAGGAGAGATTAAAGATGCGCCCAGATGGGAGCCTCAGAACTTGCACTTCTGTGAACTTAAGCAGCCCAGGTTTCAGAGTCTGTTTTTTCGCTTGACAGCTTGGGTCCATCTCCAGTGTTTTCTTTTCTGCTATAGCATATAGTACAGCAACCACCTATTTACTTAACATAAAAATCTATTAATTTTCTTACAGCTTGGAATGCTCCCTTCTTTCTCTTTGCTTTTGTTTTTCTGTCATACAGTATTGGGTAGATGACAGGTTCAGTGCTGCTCTGAATCATGTGGGTGATCCCTGAGCTCTAGATCACCCGAGTTGTCAGCTGAACTCATCTCGAGGAAATATTGAGTATCATGGGAGAAGCAGGCAGTTAAATGTATTCCATTTATATTCTAAATTGGGGAATCAATTATATATAATGGGGAGAATGAATTCAGTCCTATTTCTCTTGGCTGTTGTCCTGGTTTCATTTATATACTTGGGGACCATATTTTTGCCTCTTCTATAAAGTGACTCCAAGTCTTTATTTACTGAACATCCATTTTTGATTGGAAATATAAATCCTTTTACATAATCTTCCACTCCTTTTTAAATCAGCAGTGCATAGATGGTCTCCATTACCAATCTGGTGCATATAGTTAGTGATAAAAGAGCTTAAGTTTCAGGGTGTTCCTGTTCTCCTCTCTTTCTGAGTCCTTCAGAGGAGGTGGGATGGGGACTTACCGTTTCACTGAAATAGTTATGAAACGCTATTACGTTCTTGTCTTATTTTACACCACCTCTAACTTTTGCCCTTATCACTGTTTCTGATGCTGAATGGCATAGCTTTTCATTCTTAATTTCATTCTGTGATTTTTGTATACAAAGATCAAACACATATATTCACTACAAATAATATACTTGGTTCTTTTTTAGCATAGATTTCTTTTATAAAAGTAAAATAGTAAAAGCTTCCATGGGAGAGAGAGAACAGTCAACATTCTGCATAATTGGTTGCTGTTTCTGAACATACGCAAATCTGAATCTGTTAATTGGATGCCTAAAAGGGCCTTGAGGATAAATTAACTGCCCAAGTCACAGAAAGTGATCCAGATCAACCCATATTCAGTATCTACAAAAAAAAAGTGCACTTGAACACTTCTGTTTTTGCAGAGAGAAAGAGTATGCTCAGGAGCATTCCAGCTAAGGCATATAAGCTGCTGAGCGCACTGGCCCACTACACATGCAGGTAAAGGGGCTATAGGATCCAATGAGTGATTCACACAGTTGCGCATCCTGCAATACCACATGTGCATGGCGGGATGGGCGACTGTGGAATTGTGCATTAGTTCCCATTATACATTATTACTGGTGCAGGGGGAGCCCAACCTGGGACTGTCTCTGCACCAGCAAGAAGCAAGTTCTTGCAACTGGGACCCCCCTTAGCTGAGGAGCTCCCAGATGCTGGGGCACCCCATGCACCACCACCCTCTCCTAGGAGATCACTGCTGTGGCAATCCCCACATCCTGGAAGTCTGTGGAACTACTTGGGCAAGGTTCACCCCTGTGGCTGAGGCCCATAGCTAACAGGGCTTCTCGCCTCAGGGGAGACCCTGCTACACATGCAAATTAAAGCTCGAACACAACCAGCTATAAAATTAGTACACATTTTCAATGTCTAACTTTATAGCTAGTTGGAACTTTTTATTGTGTGAAAGCTGCTTTGCATGTATAGCTGGTATCAAGGTAATTGTGCAATTAACCAGTTAATTGCACAACACCTGTAATGCATAAAGCAGGGCCATAGGTACCTAAATTTTACCTAGGCTCCTGGAGCAGCTTTGTCTTTTAAGCATCCACAGAGCACATCTAACTCATACAAAGACCATTTAATGCTGGTCCAAGTTATAGCACCCACATATCTTGAAAAATTGTTATGTTGCACTTTTTGTGTTTGTTTTTTTCTTACAGTCTGTTTAGATCTTTGGAGACTTCCATGTCTGTGAGCTTTCCTGTGTTTCTGCAGGACTTTCATAACATTTTAGAATCTTTTCTAGTTAGATACCAGACTTGTGGACCTGTTTTGTTCCACTCATATAGTCTGTGGACAAAATATGTTCTATCTTACTGTGAATTTGTTTTCCCCTTGTCAGGGTTCATTTGTTTTCCTTGCAAAACTTCTGGGATTCATATTTAATAATATTTTATAAGATGCCTGGCAAAATGGAACTGTGATCCAGAGCTTGATTGATAATGATCAATATACTAATAATAAGCAATTTCTGTTCAGGATAGTAGCAAAAATTATAGAACAAAGCTATTTTATCAGCCACTTCAAAAAATATAAATGTAAATTATTGCATCATATTTAGACCTAGTTTTGTCCTCAGGAAGCAGATTTTAGTGCAACAAAGCAAAATTTAAAATAACAACATACCACACAGTGGGTGCGTCTACATGACATTATGTCACGGTAGCAATGTGCTATGGCAACATAGCATTCACAAGCAAAACCCATGATGCTGCAGTTATATCGCCATAGTGATGAACTCCCCCATTATAGCACATCGCTATGGTGACATAGTGCCAAAAAATAACCATGTGTGGTGCACATGGCTCAATAGAGGCTGTTACTGTAACAGTGGTTCCATAGTGGTATGTGTAGACATGCCCAGTGTTATTAACCACTTCAGCTCTTAACAGGACTAATCTAAAGTTGTCTTTGAGAGTAATTGTCTTAGCTTTGAAGTGCAGTCAGTCCAAAAAAAGGACTATTAGAGAAGTCCAGATGGCATCTTTGTTAAAACAAAGTGTGAAACCTCTAATAATAAATGTCAAGCAGTGTTGTAAATATTCTGCAAAGAATTGTACCAACTGAAAATGGTGGCTGCAAACAACTGGTTCATGTGATTCATGACCAAGAATTTCAAAGCTTCTAATTTAATTAGCATAAATCAAAAACAAAGGATAATGGCACCTCACCCTCCCTCCCCACCACACACCATATATTAGTCATTTGAATTATTAAAAGCTGAAATGGTACGTATGTATCTTGTTTGCTAGACTCTTTCATTTAGGTTGTGTTTCAGGTCAGTGCATTCATTTTAAAATTAACATAACCGCACCAGATGAACTACTGAAAAAACTGGATGTTAGACTGCAGAAACATTTAATCTTCTGTTAGTATGGCAAGATTGTCACATGCATTTAAAATATAAAACAGGATGTTAATGTTGAGTAGGGATGGGAGTAGGAGTAAGTTCTTAGAGGCTGCTATTAACCCCCTCCCCTTCCCCCAGCCCATGAGTTGATGTAGATAGTTAGAATCTTCTCTCTAAATATTCCTTAATTTTGTTTTTCACTTGTGTGTGCTAGCAGAATGAAATTTGCTAGACAGGGAGTATGCCATGCTCTGTAAATTACTGTATAGCAGTTTATGCTCTCTGAAAGAGAAATGGGAAGAGAAATTCCGCAGACTGCTCTTATAGTTGGGACAGGCAAATGCCACTCAGTATATAAGCAATAATTTGCCTTAAGAAACAAAAGATGACATCCAGAATTGGTTAGGTAGTTAATTTAATTATTACTTTACAGGGCTAAATTTGGAGACTTTATTCAGCTAAAAATGTTAATAAGGACCTCGACTTCAGGGTGAAATAATACTCTGTGGACTACAACTTGCCATGAGGTATACTTTGGTTTTAGGGAATTTCTCATCTGTTCCACACTTTATATACTGGCTTCAATTTAGTAATATGCTAAAGGTAGAAAGCTTCTTTTAAATAAGTTCTTTAGTTTCCAAGGATTTTTGATACTTTGATGCACCAAACAGTTTGCCTATGGGCTATCTGATGGGCACTTATACTTTACTCAAAGCTCAAGTAGGAGAAAATTATTAAATATTTATTTTTTAAACTTGTGTTTTTGAAATTCATTGAAACTGAAGCTACTGCAAAAAAGTACTTAACTATTTTCAGACATATTATTTTCTCTGTTTCAGAGGTGAAATCTAAATAAGAATTGAAACATGGATCTAGACTCAGTCCCTAAATTAGATGAAGAGACAGAGATTTTCAGGACCCAACAAAGACAGACTTATGAACTGCTGGGAATTGGCCAGGGGACTGGTATTTCCTGTGACTCAAGTTTGCCATCTGAAAGATCCTATCCTTACTCATCTCATCATCCTTGTGTGCATATTAATAGCAGCAATGATTGGGGGATTTCTGAAGAGCTACGAATTCGAGAACTGGAAGAAATCAAGTCTAGAGCAGCCCAAATGGAGAAAACCATGCGTTGGTGGTCAGACTGCACTGCCAACTGGCGGGAGAAATGGAGTAAAGTTAGAGTAGAAAGGAATAAAGCCCGGGAGGAAGGGAGGCAACTGAGACTCCAGCTGGAGACTACAATGAAGGAACTGAGTGTTCTGAAAAAAATGAACCAAGACTTAGCAAAAGAAAAGGAGGAGTTAAAAGCTGAAATTGCTCAGAAAAAGAAATATAGTTTCTTAGAGGTACCTTATTTGAGAGAAGATGGTCACCAGTTTATGTCTCTGGAACAAGAACCTGTTAAAGAAGTGGTCAAGAACAACATCATCTGTGGCATGAAGGATTCTTGTAAGGTAAAGAATTTTAGCTCAGTGAGACTTTTTCCAACTCGAGGAGAAGAATGAGCTATGAATTTGTATCTAAACATTTTGGGAAATTTCTATTTCTGGTCAGTATATGCAAGATACACTTATTTATGCTCTCTGACAACATTGTAAAGCTTTGTTTTTCTCCACACCCAAAAATTCAGTACATATTTATATATGCATTTGAAGTCCAAGTTTACCATTAACCACATATACACTATTGTGTCAGAGTAGTGCTATACCTAGACTTCTGGCGGCCCTGAGTACACTTTTAGTATCGGGCCCCCCTTTACCAGGGATAATGATTTTTTTTGTTGCAAAAGTCTTTATCACATCTATGATATCAATGTCTTTAAATAGTTCATTTTCAATTGATAACATTGCTAGTCGCGTATATGCTCAATATTATTATTTTTTTTTTGCAATTGTAATTTTTTTTTTTTCATTTTTGGTCCTCCTTTCTGTCTGGGCCCTGGGCAGCTGCCCAGTTCACCCATATCTATGTCTGGGTCTGTGTTAGAGAGGTAGTCTGTTAGATCAGTAATATTATTTAAAGTTATTTTGGGTTCCTCCAACCCTTATGTACCCTCTTCCAAAATGCAGTGTGGATTTCATGGTGTCCAAAGGTATTGTTAAACAGTCTTTACTGACTTGTGGATGCAGGCACAGATGAAAGTGAGAAGTACCTAGTAGTAGTCCTAGCCTTTCAACATTCCTCCTGCCCTTCATCATTAATTAAAGTTTCTGTAAGAAAAAGGACAGCCCTTCTCTATAGAATGGGAGGATTTTTATGGAGCTAGGTTTACAATGATATTGCTTCATATTAGTGATGATGTCTGTGGACTTTTAATGAGTAGAATAATTTGCTGCAGCTCTACTCTTCTGTGTCAATATAAAGATACAAGGTGGAAATATTTGGCTAATGTAATTCCATGGACTTTAAAGAAAACTATACTACAGCAGGAAGTCTGACCTATAGTTTATTTTCAGTTTTAAGATTATTGCAGCAATTGGAAAAATGGAATTGTCTCCCACTTAAAAGGATTTCATTCGAATAGGCTCTGCAGGTCTTTCTCTTCAGTCACCAGGCTTAAAGAAAGATCTGTTTCTTCCTGCATAGCTTATATTAGTAGGTGTGAAGTTAATGATGCATTAATGATGCAACCTTTTATTAGATGGTTTTCAATATAATGACTCATCTTGTAATGTAAGTAAGATATAATTTTAGTCGCTCTAAAAATGTGTTGAATTCAAATGTGAATTAACCACTATTGTGACAAAGTACTCATTAACTTAAATGTGCAATACTGATTTACCAGTGTATTCATTTAATTAAATAAGGCAACTACAAAAATATAGAAATCTCTTTGAATTGGTACATTTAATCTTAGTTGATGTCCATAAAAGTTAAGTAATTTTCCTGACTTGAATAATGTGCACTCAGTGATGTTATGCATGTGAGTTTGTTATGGAGTTGTATAAAGCTCCTAAACACAGACTTTCAACCTCAGATTTAAACAGTAAGTGTTGTTTTCGGTTAAAGCCCCCCCCCCAAAAAGTCTTATTTCAATCAGTCTGTTTGCCACTGAATTAAATAAGGCCAGGATTCCACCCTAAGGTTACAAACCTGCAAAGACTTATGTTTATACTTTAGTATAACCATATTTCCAGTTCCAAAAAAGAGGACACCCGTTGCATGGGGGGATCGGGGGTATATAATTGTGGGGCTAAGTGATGCCAGTTCCCTGCCCCTACCCATTCTGGTGCCTTTCACTCCCAAGCCATAGCCACCCCAGCCCTGCTGGTGCCCTTCACTCCTAACATGTAGCCCCCTGCCCCTCCCCCGGAGCTGGAGGGGCAGGCACCTTCACCCCCCCTTCCCCTGCCCCCCCCAACAGTCCCCAATCCCTGGTTCTCTGACCCCTCCCCACAGACTTACCTGTCTGCAGCTGTGGAGCTGCTCCCACCCCCCTGACAAGTACATGCCGGCCCCGTGTGTGTGCACCCTGTCTCCAGTTGCCCTCCCCCGCTCCACCCAGCCCCAAGTAGCTCCTTGCTAGGGCAAGCCAAGAAGTGCAGGGAACAACTTCAGAGCTGAGCTGACCAAAATTCCAGACATTTGATCATATATTTTTAAACCACCTGGACGGAGATGGGATGTGTCACAACCCAAAGTTGTGGTTTTTCTTGTTTGTGTGTGCTTCGGCATCGCTAAATCATGTTCCCGCCAAATTGAAGCCCTTTTGCACGGTGGAGTGTTCTGCTGCAACAGAGAACCCGCGTGCAGGAGCTTTTCCTGCCAGTTCTGTAGCTTTCTTTGCATAGTGCATTTCTTTTGCATTATAGTAATGCATGATGCAAGGAGTCCCTGCCATTTGTATTAGGATTCGCGCCACATTATTGGCCAGTCTTAATGTAGGCACATGTGGTGGCTAGCTATTGGCTTGCTAGCCGTACAAAAGGCTTGGGTGGTTTCCGCCCAAATCGGAGAGAGAAAAAGAAAGCACGTGGAGTTCGGGAAAGGAGCGTGAGGATCTCTAAGCGCTGCTGATCCATACGAACCCAGCTTTTTCCTTAAGAAGGCAACAGAGGTTTAATTTATCGAACCCACGGAGCTTCAACAACTCC